AAGGCAAGACCTAAATTTCCATAGAAAAAAAAAAAAAAAAGACAGTTCTAGGGGAAAAAAAAAAATTAAACTAGTGTCTTCCTGCTCTACCACCTAGGAGTGTGCAAGTGTTAGAAAAGAATATTAAAGCTTGCTATTTAAAGATGATATGCTCAAAATAAACATGACAATTAAAATATATTGGGGAAAATGAATATTTAATAAAGTCTTAAGTCTGAATTTAACAGCTTAGTAGTTTAGTCGTGTTAAGGTAAGACAAAAATAGATTGCTTTTTAACAGGGAAGAATATATACCTGCTTTGGGATTTCCAGGATGTTTGTCAGGATGACATTCAAGGGCTTTAATCTTAAATTCCGCAAGGATTTGTTCCACCTAAACAGAATGTTGAGATTTAAAGTAAGTAAATACGTACACATAGAAAAGATTTTCAAATTTTCTTTTTGAAGGGTGTTGGGAGGAACAGCAAAGAATGCTGAAAGATTTTTTCCTATTCATTTTTACAAGCTTTAGTACAAGCAAAATAGAGGTAACAACAACCATCTGTCAGTGGCACTGCTTATTTAATTTCATTCTCCATGCACTCATCCTAATGTGCAAAGATCATGTGTGCAAAACCCTTTCTTCACATTTGAGCACGTAGGCAAAACACATCACTTCAGTCGCTCCTCCAGCTTTCTGGGAAGGCAAGACCTAAATTTCCATAAAAAAAAAAAAAAAAAAAAGACAACTGAGTATGAGCTACGCACAAGAATCCTGCAAGAGCAAGTCATGACCTGGCATATTAAACCATCTGATTCAGTTCAGATTGAAAGTTTGTAGGCTGAGTTGTGAGCTGCGTTGGCTGAGAAGCCTCCGCACAGTCCATCGCTATTTCTGTAACGCAGATGACGAACCTCAGCAGAGGAAGTAGGCAATTAGCTGGGAAAGCAGCCTCTGAAGCTGAGCTGCCAGAGCAGCTGGAGGCCTCAAGCTTACTTCGCTGCTGAGAAAGCTACACGAACTGCTCCTTCAGAAGATGAAGGTATATGGCAAGATGGAGACATACAGCTAACAGATAAACCTACCAACTTCTACATAGGATTTCTTAGATTGCTTAAGGATGTAAAGTAAGAAGATAACAATGGAAGAGGAAAAGTTATAGGTATGTTCAGTTCTCCTCTTGTTTTTGTACTTGTAACCTGACAGAGCCACAGACAAAAACTGCCCCTCTCCTATTAAAACAAAACAAGTAACCTCGAAAACCACTCACAACCTTTGGCCAAGAGGAGCTTGCAGTTCAGACCAGGTGACACAGCTATCTCAGAAGCAGCAAGGATCACTTAAGTACCACAACACACACTTCTGCAAGAATAGATGTTTAAAGTTCAAGTTGTTGAATAGTAAGAAAACAAAACTTGGTCAAAGCTACATAGCTGATGAACATGAATTCATATCACCTGCACATCAGCTGAACTACGAGATCCAAGATGTACCAACAATTCTCAATACTGCCGCTGGAGACCCCAGTGTGATTTACAACTGTAGCTTACAGTCTGTTGACAACTAGTATTTCTCACAGTTTCTACCTGCATGTTGAGGCCACTATATACGCACACCCTTGGGCAGGAGGCTTCAGTTCAGAACTCAACAGTAATCAGTCTTGATGTCTTCCGTAATTCCTCTCATGGTCCCAAGATACTAGAAGGAACCTCAGGCCACTGTTTCTAAAGCCCAGGAGGAGAACAGGAAGCTGCCTGAAGCACATGGTTTACATCATGTTGCTGACCATGGTCACCAAGACTGAGTTTTCCACCATGGGGAGATCAATCCACAAGATGAATATGCCTTCATGCTTAAACCACTTTGTGGTGTATTTATCAGACCCCAGCATGAGTCACGTCCTGATTTCAGCCTGGAAATATAAGCAAAAGCATCTTTCTGGCTATTAAAGGTGAACACCAGACCACTGACAAGATACAATAGCTGCCAAAACTCATGTGTTTCCAGACACTGGTCAAGAAGAGGTACTAAAGGATAAATAAAGCATTTCAGTTAGCACTTAAGTATATTTCAAGACCATGACAAACAACTCGAGAAAATATGGCTCATACTAGCATTTCCACTAAAATCGACCCATCCTCTTCCTGTTCATGACCACTGGCTCCAGCTTCAGCAGACACCTCCTCTGTGCTTTCAGAAGTCTTCATGTAGTCAAGTACTGAACTAGATTCTAGTACTAAAGAGGAGACAGGAAAAAGCAGAACACAGAACAATTTTTTTTTTCCCATAGCATGCCAGCCTAAACATTTGTGTAGCTACAGCTGTAGAATGCTACCGCCTTTATTTTCATCTTTCTGGTCTTCTTCCACCCAATCATTTCACCTATTGCAGAGGAAACACACCTGAACATGCACATGATTGCACATATTCAGCTTTCCCGTATTTTTTACACACAGAAGCTATTTACTTTCATGAAAAAAACCTTTTCATATTTTCATAGTTTTCTAATTTACACTGCTAATCTTTGAATTAATAGGTAGGCTATTGGCTACTCCATGCTACCTGCTCTCTAAAGCTAAGAAGAGGCAGTTCTGTGTATCACTCTGCTTATTTAAGATGTTTATGGTTAGCATAGGTGCACCGAATTACACGGTACTTACAAGCTACTACTTTGCTGTAAAACATGATTTGTAAGTTATGTCACAGGCGACTGGGAGGACGCCCGGAGGCACACATAGATGACTGCATCCAGCAACACTTCACAGATTGGTGATGATTAATCCATCTTTTCCCTGTCTTCCTGTGTATAAAACCTTTGACCCTAAAGAATAGTAGAATCCAGTTAACAGACCAACTAACTGGAAGTGTTTTGATGATTAGGCTGGATTTCCCCTTTATTAATATTACAAAAGCACACTCTCTCATGCATGCCTGTGATTAAGCAATCCAAGCGGTCCAGACAACCCTAACTCTGGGTTCCAAGAAAAACGTTCCACTGAACCTCAGCTTTTTCAAGTAGTTGCTTAGCAAGAATGAAAAGCTGCAACTGGCTGCATGAGCCAGGTAGATGCTGAGCCCACCACCAAAGCAACACAGAGCTCTAGCCAGAGCTCTCTCTGAACTCTTCCCCTAGATCCACACAATTTACAAGCATCTACAATTTAATTCCTAGCAATAGGGTGAGGTAATTATTTTTATATACAACACCACAATCTAGTCTAAAAATGTCTAGTGCGACTTCCTGGGCTCACTGCTTGACATTTTTCTGCCTAACAGTATGCTGTTAAGAAGCTTTAGGACTGGAACACATTTCCGGCTGTGCAATTTAGAGACCCACACTAAAAGTCTCTGCATGCCACTAAGGCATGTTATTCTCCTGGTTGTCAATGACAACACCAAACAGAAGCTTCAACACTTCTGTATACACCTTGAAACAAAATACATTGCAGATTCCCGTTGCTTTCTTTTTTGTACTGACATGAGTTTATATCACCTCCCACATGAGGTACACGGAGCTGTATGTAGACAGTTGTCTACAGCGATGGCCGTATCACCATCCAAAAGCAAAGAGGAGTTTTTATAACATCCTGATACCTAGGTAGCAGATGCCAGGGTAACATCCAGATAAGCAGCTATTCAGCATCTTAAGAGCACAGACAAAATTTGCTGACGGACTGTCTGACATACAACTTGTCCGTAACTGTAAAGAAGCTGTAGACTAGCATTTGTTACTCAAAGTTCACTCCTGTGCCAAACAGCTGCTATTCTCACAGGTTTAATCACACCCCATAAAATGCTAAAACTCCAAGCTAGCACATCTTTTACGTATTTGAATCAATCTACTTAATCATTCTTGGTCTTCACCTCACATGCTTTCAAGACTCATCCGATCACTTGGCAGGCAGGCAGCTGCTTTTCACTTTGCTCATGGATTTCTGCAGCTTCTCCCCTTTTTCGAAGCTACACGACAGTACAGCTGCTTACACCTACGTACGGCTTGTGAATAGCCCCTACAAAACCAGGTTTCTAATGAATTCCTGCAGAGAGCAGAGTTACTAAATGTTCACATTAGAGAAAGCGAATGGAGAAGTTGTCATTTTTCAGAGCAGTGAAAAAAAAAACAATCAGTCGACCAGGTTTCTCCTTCAGGAAGTTGCCCAAGAATGCAATTAAAACCACAAAAACCAAACCACGTCTCAGAATCATATGCAGGCATGAGAAAGGGGGAAGAGAAATAAATCACACTGAGGCCTCTAATCCATAGGCAGATATTCCCGAGTTCTAAGGGAAATCTGACATTTTAACACCTATCTGTTAGCACAATGGTATCTCTGAAGGTTTTCTTTTCTCTGTGAAGATCCTCCTGCGCTGCACTGCATTGAGCCAAGATATTAAACACCGTTTTAACCAGGAGACAAAAGACTCTCTCCTGAGGTGTACTTTGCATTTCCAAATCCTCTCAGAGCTCGGTACACAAAGCACGCTCCCGCAGTATTCTAAAGCGAGCCAAGGTGAGAGTTTTAGCTAACCAGTTCTCTGCCTCAACACACACTTAGTGCCACCAGCACTAGCTAAATCCTCTCTTAATAATAGAATATATACACCCTTTGCTCCCCGAACTGCAGCGGCTGCAAGTACTTCGCTCCCATTTCTCTGTCACTTGATATGTAAACAAAATCTCAGTTACTAACTGAATTGTTATGTATCGGTTTTAAAGTACAAGAGCAAGCTCTCTCTGGAAGAGGAGAGGAGACGCTGACGAAGTGAGCAACTTCCAGTCTCCGCCGACGCGGGGGGTGCCCGGGGGGCTCCCCCTCCGCCGCACCCCCGGGAGAGGCGTGGGTCCCCGGGACGCCGCGGCCGCCCGGCGGGGACGGGAGAGAGCCGCTGGCAGCGGGGACCGGCAGCTCCCCACCGGCGGCCGAGCCGGCAGAGCGCGGGGCTACCAGCCACCTCTGGCGGGGGGGGAAGAAAACAACCCTCCTCGCTCCCCAAAAACCACCGATCAGAAGAAACTCACCCCGCCAGCACCACCCGCTCACGCCACGGCCGGATTTGGGGAACTTGCGGGCGCGGGTACCGGGCACAGCACCCCGCAGAGCCCGCCGGCACCCGGGACACGGGGTCCGCGGCCAGCGGCCTCCGGCGTATCAGCCGGGAAACTTTGGTTCCCCCCGCACGGAGCCCGCACGACACTCCGGCTCCCCTCCCGCCCTCCTCCGCCGGGCGGCTGCCCCGGGCCCTCCTCCTTCTCTTCCTCCAGCCCCGCGGCGGAGCAGCACAGGGGCCGCCCGCCTGAGGGGAGCAGCCCGGCCCGCCTGAGGGGAGCTGCTCTGCCCCCCTGAGGGGAGCAGCCCGGCCCGCATGAGGGGAGCTGCTCTGCCCGCCTGGGGGGAGCAGCCCGGCCTCCCCGCGGGGTGCCGGGCCGCGGGCGGTGCCCCCTGGTCCCTGTGGCCCCCTCGGGCCCGTCGTGCTGGGGACGGCCGGCTGCGGCCCCTCGCCCCAGCATGGCTGTGCCCCAGCGTCCCTCCCAAGCCCCTCTGCCAGCTCTTGCCCCTCTGTCTGGGGTACAGTGGTGGGGAGAAGGGGAAGCGGAGGCAGCTGGTGTGGTATCCACAGGGGCAGGGCCCGGCCTGGCTAACAAAGCAGGGGGTAATGAGGGGATGGAGAGCACCAAGACTAAGGGCTGCAATGTCCCCCAATGCCATGAGGTCCCTTCCTGGCAGCACTGTTGTGGGAGATGTGAAGATTTCAGCTGAAGGGGCATCTCCTCCACCCCAGCCTTCTTGCACCTTCCCCATGGTTGAGACCGCTGCAGCCACATCCTCTAGCAGTGAGGACAAAGTAGGGGGTGGCAGCTGCCTGGGACCTTGGCCCCTCACCTGGCGCTGGGGTTCTACTCTTCACAAACAGTGCAAGAGGGGATGAGAGGGAGGCAAGCTGCCCCTCCAGCCTAAGGGCACGGGAGCATGGCAGGACAGAGGTGTGAGTCTTAACACTCACTGACAGCCCCGCGCTCCTCTGCTGACAAAGCATCACGTGGAATTTCCACTATTCATACCAAAACAGTGCTGCTGCCCACCCCGGAGAACCAGGCGGTGTGTTGGTCTGGCAGAGGACAACACTGATTTGTGAAGTTATCCCTTCTGCGCCTAGTTTCCAAAATCGTGCGCATGTGCGGTGCGGTCCAGCTTTGAAGAAACAGGACAACGATGCAGTAAACCACACTTCTTCCCTCAGGAGTTAGGACTCTCCTGGATACAAAAATTCATTAACTTATCTCCTGGTACAAGCCTGAGCAGCAGCCATGGTGTCTGCTGTTGGTCTCTAAGGTGGAGAGCCCTGTGTCCACCGAGATGGCCTTTCTGTGGAGGGCCCCTGTGCCTGGGTGAAACCAAAATGCTGGCAGGCAGGATGAGGGAGGGGGGACAGCATGGTGGCACGGGTTGAGGAGGAACTCAGCCTCAACCAGGGTAAGGGGAATTTAGCTGAGACAAGGTGCTGGCACCAGCAGGCTAGGCCATCGAGGTTCTTCGTGGGCAATGCCAGCTGAGGTGGACGTTTCTGAGGCTGTGTACTAACTAGCTTGACTTTGCTACTTTAATGAAAAAGTACCTTCTTTTACTCTTCCCAAAATGCTTCATGCCATCATTTCTACAAATGCAGGTCCAGTTTTTGAGTTGAGAATAGAGGTGAATTAAAAACAGCAACAAAACCCCCCACCTTTTGCATGATTTTTCATATTAGCAGGGACAACCTTTGACTATCCATTTTCTCTCACAGATGAAGGAAGAAAGCTATGTAGACCATGTCAGATCTCCTGCCCAAATGCTTAACATCATGGAAACCACATGGAAAATTGTTATTGGGTGGTTTTAGGAACCTTTTGGTACAATGTAGCTTATGGACAGGAGGGAGAAGGGCCAGATCATGACCAGCCAGCTGCACCTAGATCTTGGAGCAAGAATCCTGGGTCTAGTCCGAAAGGCTGAAGACCTAAGCCAACAGCCAAACCTCCAAACACCCTCAGCTGGACACAGGCTCCAAACCCAGCCTTTACTGGCACAAACTTTGTAGTCTTCAGTATAAACAGAACAGGGATAAGAAAAGTTACATTCCAAACAAATTACCGTGAAATAGGCTCAATTTTGATTACACACGGTTTGGGCAGCACGGTGCCAGTCCCGTGAGACTGCAGCTAAAGGATTGCAGCCAGAAGGCAATGCTGTTCCTCCCCTTGTTGCCATGTAGCTCACAGCTAGAAACTGAAGTAGCTGTGGGCAACAACCTCTCACCCAGGCAAGAAATCACTGTTCTCCTCTCTGGCAAATGGTTTCAATGATCGGATTTGAGCCCATTAAACCGTTAACTACTCACACTTTTTAGAAAGAACGAGGCATCACACCTACTAAGTACTTTGGATCAGCAACATTTGTGGAAATTCAAGCATCAGGCAAAAATAGTTGAAGTCAAGAGGAGTTTGGGGTGAAGCTGCATGAGATTGGCCCAACCCAACCTATCAGCTACCAAAAGAGGAGCGCTACTGTCCCCTCCTTTTTCCTCTACCCCTCTGAGGGTCTCAGAGCCTCACTAGCTCTGCTGCTTGCCAGGTCCTTGTGCAGACCACCTCATACTGGCAGGGGAAAAAAACCTAACACTGAGCTTTTTTTCTGAATTTATTCTCTGAAGGAGCCTTCTGAAGGGCTTGATCAATGCTGGAGCCACAGGAACAACAAAGCAGCCTGACCCCCCAGCAGCCAGTAGCAAGACTGGCTTAAACCACGGCAGAAACTCAGCCACAGGAGGCATTGCAAGACCTGATGTAGATTCCTTTAGGTGGGTGCATGTGGGATACACTTTGTTGCTACTGGAATTAATTTCATAGATAAGTACCTATGCACAGAAATTAAAGACGCATACATGAAAGAAAAATTCACTTACAAGTTGCACGCGCTGTGAGGCTATACTTAAAAGCACAGAGGTTCTTTAGATGATATCTCACCTTAGAAGGGCAGATTTCAAACCGTATACCAAGTTGCTAATGAGGATACAGGAAATCTCATCCATTTTTTCCACTTGAAGCAAAACATCTCTTCCCACAGAGGGAAATGTTGATGTTTCCCTGGATGATTTAAGCTTAAAGAGGAAGCTGACAGGCAGAAAGTCGCGGTGAAATAGAAAAACTGGCTCCAACACAAACAAGCCTAAGCTTGACAAAATAGGCTGTAGTTTTAACAAGCAGCTTAGGAGAAGGCTAAGGGGGAGGCCCTTAGTGCAAACTACTGCCTTTTGAGGCCAAAAATTTTAAAGCACCATTTCTCAAGCAGTTCAGACTGGAAGTCCTACATAAAAGTAAAAAAAACTTCACAGTTCCCATACATGTTTTATAAAGCTAAAGTAAAAAATTATGGTAAAAGTGATAAGCCTATAGAATTTATTGTTTCTGTATGGTTTTGAGAGGTTGCCAAGAGAATGGTCCTGCTATATGGAGAATGGAAGAAATGACATTTTCTTTGCTTTAGATTGTTATAAAATTTTCAGTGCTTTACAAGCCCCCAGATGGTTTTTATAACCCCTTCAGGGGTTGCAACATATTGACTGAGAAATACTGATTTATATAGCAAACTCCACTCTTTTCTCATTGCTGGCAAAAATTACTGCTTTGTATATGCGTATACACACAGTGGCTGAATATAAATAAAATCCCAACAAATAATGAGATCTGAGGCAAAACCACCTGGCGGTACATTAACTCAAATGAAATTTCCCTAAATTTACACTGGTGTAAATCGGAATGTTTGGCCCTAAATCTTTTAGGTGAGCTCTAGATTGAGGATTAAAAAGTTTGTACTCTGTTTCACCCTGCAAATACAGCAGATTGCTGAGTGCTTTTATTGGTGGCAGGAATAGGGAAACATTCCCAATCAACAGTTCTCTTGTTGATTTATTTGCTTTCACTGTGTTCACCTGTAGTGATTTAACTAGAAAGTATGGGTGACTTGGGTCATAGCAAGCCTGCAATGGAAACCCCACAGCAGGTGTATCCCAGCGCCTCAGGAGTGACTCTGAAATGCTTTGCCTGTCATGAATAAACAGCTGGACTAAACAGCAGGTCCAGTTTTTTATTTTACTTTTGGAAGACCACTGGATTTGTTTGCATTTTGTATAGACAGTCGGGTGTAAAACAATTCTTACTGAACAGTGGCTTCCTAAAGTATGTTGAAATCCAGCAATGGACCAGGAGGAGCTCGTATGCCTTGGGTAACTAAACCTGCTCTTGCCCACAGGCCCCGTACAATCAGGCTGGTGCATGGCTCGCTGGGTGACCTGACTCTGCTGGTCACGGCCGAACTGCCTGGGGACAACACGCCACGGTCCCTGGTGAGTGCTCCAGCACACAGCCAGGAAGGGGCAACGCTCCATGCATCCCGTTCCTCAGGAGGGAGGCGGTCACTCGGGACGTGGGGGCTGTGATTTTAAATCCACAAAAGGCAGGAGAGTTGCTGGTGTTCCCAGGAGAGGTCTCTAGCCACCCTGTCTGAGCATTTTCCGGAGAAAGGGAGGGCTCTTCAACTCTTGTGCTGGTGCCTTCCTACTTTACATTAAAGAATTAAAAATGCATTTGATCAGGCAGAAGGAAGGGAAGAGCATGGCACTGTAGCTTCATATTTAAGTCATCCTTTGGGAGGGTGGAGACTGCAGTTTCACTCCCTGCTTGCAAGGCAGAATGCTTTTGTATTTTACATTAATCAGCCAGTGGATAAAATACATGAACAACCTTTAGGCTGGGCAGAAAATTTAACTGACAGCCGTGTCCTCAGCACCTCCTCTGCTCCTGTGCACTGCAGTACCTCAGTCCCTCCTTGGAGCTGGGCCTCAACCTCAACCCATGGCTCTGCACAGGTAAAAGCAGAACCACTGCCCTAAACTCTCTCACAGTTCTCAATATGCAGATTATAAAACCTCTAGATCACAAAGTTTCTCTGACAAGGCACGCACACAGCTCACAGCTCCCTCAGCCCCCATCTCAGCCGAAGCTGTCTGACGCTAATATTAAGAGAAGGTGTTGAGCTGCTTCCAGATTACCTTGGATTTGTGTGGATTTGGGACTAAGCCCCATCAGCGAAGCTGCTGCTTAAG